TCTTGGCATCTCCCTGTCTTTCCACTGGGGAACTGTTCCTTCCACCTGGCTCCCTGGTTGGTTCCCGAGTACCTGTTTTGTTGCTAGCAGTTAGGAGTCAATCAGGTGATACAGTCACCTAAGCAATGTCGCTCCTTAGGCAGTGCCACTATTATACCAGCTCTCTACAGGGCACCACACAAACCTAGGTGGTGCAAGTCCCTCACTCCACGTGACCTCTTGATGCAATCAGGAGATGCAGTCAACACAGGATGTGTGAGGCTGCTGCCATCACACGGCATGCTGCTTTACAGTAAATGTTTTTAGCAGGAGTACACTCTAAAACAACAATGAAAAATGAAATATAAGTCTATGGGTATAGCTCAGGGGTAGAACTCTTATCTAGTATGCATGAGGCCCTGATATATATATATATTCTCCACCATCCACAATGAAGTGCCTGGTTCCTTCGTGAATCTCCATCTTCAGCCCCTCTCCCTTCTCCCCAACCTCCATCATGTCCATGAGGGTGACCCAGGCATCCTACAAGGTGTCCACCAGGGGGCCAGCTCCCTCCATTAGCTCCTCCAGCATCTCCCAAATGGGCGGCAGCAGCATCTTCTGGGGAAGCCTGGGTCTGGGCAGCTGTGGCAGAGCAAGTGGTGTAGGGAGCATCACAATCATGCAGTGAACCAGACTAGGATAAGCCCCCTGAACCTGGAGGTGGACCTCAATATCCAGGCCATGCACATTCAGAAGAAAGAGCAGATCAAGAACCACAACAAGTTCGCCTCCTTCATAACAAGTGATGGCTCCTGGTGCAGCAGAACAAGATGCTGGAGACCACATGGTGCCTCCTACAGGAGCAGAAGACATCCTAGAGTAACATGGATGACACCTGCCAAAGCTATTGCAACACCCCCCAGTGCCAGCTGAATGCTGGGCCAGGAGAAGTTAGGGCCAGAGGTGCAGCTTGGCAACATGCAGGGGCTGCTGCAGGACTTCAAGAATAAGTATAGGGATGAGATGAATGCGCACATGGAGATGGAGAATAAATTTGTCCCCATCAAGAAGGATGCTAGGGCCGGCCAGATAGCTCAGCAGATTAAAGTAACTGCTTAGGCAGTTGCAAGGACAAAGTTTGATCCCTGCTATGCTGGCCCCATCCCCAGGGCACACTGAGATGACAATTGAGACTGGGCGTGGTGGCACACACCTATACTCCTAGCACTTAGGAGGCTGAATATCAAAGGATCACTACAAGTCTGATCTGTGTAGTGAGACCCTATAGACCCTGTACTAAATACATTGAAAAGAAGGAGGAGGAGGAAGAGGAAGAGAATGTGAATAAAGTTTACATGAACAAAGGGAAACTCGAGTCTTGCTTGGAAGGGCTGACTGACAAGATCAATTCCCGAAGGCAGCTGGATGAAGATATCCAGGAGCTGCGATCTCATGTCTCAGACATATCTATGGTGGTGCTGTCCATGGATGACAGCCACTCCCTGGACCTGGATGGAAGCATCGTTGAGGTCAAGGCCCAGTGTGAGGAGATGGCCAACCACGGTGGGGGCAAGGCTGAGAACATGTAACACATCGAGTATGAGGAGCTGCAGACTGGCTGGGAAGCACAGGGGTGACCTCCACCGTGTGAAGTCTGAGATCTCCGAGATGAACTGCAGCATCAGCTGCCTCTAGAAGGCTTGGTGATGCTAAGCAGCATGGGCAGCTGGAAATGTAGGACATCACTGCCAAGCTGACCCCACTGGAGGCCGTCCCACAGAAGGCCAAGCAAGGCATGGTGCAGCAGCTGTATGGGTACCAGGAGCTCATGAACATCAAGCTGGCGCTGGACATGGAGATGGCCATCTACTGTGAGCTGCTGAAGGGTGAGCAGGACAGGCTAGAGGCGGGAATACATGAGTATCCATGGGAAGGACACCTGTGGCTTCACACAAGCTCACCCTGTGGAGGCCTCCCAAGGCCTGGCTTCATCCACACCAAGCTTGCCATGGTTGTGAGGAAGATTGAAACTGGCAACAGGAAGTTTCAGACGCGAGTTATTGCACTGTCATGCTATAATAGCTACACCTTCAGTCCTTTGATGTCCTCCCCAAGGGAATGGGCCACAGCAGCCTCTCCTCTCCTGCTTCCCTCCCACAGCTTCCCCAGAGCCTGTGGGGAGACAGCTGTGTGCAGCAGCCCTGGGAACAAGAGATCTGAGGCTCAGCCGTGGGCTTCATCCTACCACTGGGGGAAAACTACTGCCTAGCCTACCCCTTCTCCCCATGCCCTCCACCAAAAACCAGTTCAATTGTCTTTTCCAAAATAAAGGCTGAACTAGCTCTGCAGGAAAAAAGAAAGAAAAAGGATAATTTAGGAGCACCAGTAGCACAATTGTTTACTATCCTTAGCAAGTATGTAGAGTATATAACTATCTGTTACAACTTCCTGTGACTGGTAAGAAGTAGGTTCATTTATATGCGCACCACCCAGACACGAGTTATTGCACTGTCATGCTATAATAGCTACACCTTCAGGAAGGGACAGGAGTTTTTCACTCTATAACAGTCTGATGGGACAACCATTACCCATGCAGCCTGCTGTGCACGATTATGTGTTGTAGGATTGGTTCCTGATCCTCTCCTCCTAAGTGCTGAGTCTTGCTCCGTCCCTTCCAGACTGTTCTTTTTCCATCTGAAACATCCCACTTTTGCCTAGACCAAAACCGTCTGGTTCTCCTAGGAAGAAACTGGCCCAAAGGCTTCAGGAAGCAGAGGAAAACACAGAGACGGCAAACTCCAAGTGTGCTTCCTTGGAGAAAACCAAGCAGAGGCTCCAGGGTGAGGTGGATGACCTGATGCTGGACTTGGAGCGGGCCAGCACCGCCTGCACCACCCTGGACAAGAAGCAGAGGAACTTCGACAAGGTCTCTCCCACACTGTCTCAGCAGTGATGATCAGAGTGTGGCCTTCTGCGCTCAGATATACAAGAAGCGAGTATCACTGATCCAAAGTGCTTCGGAGCTGGAGTGTTTCATTTGGAATATTTATGAAACAGGAGATATCTTGGTGCGAGAACCCAAGTCTAAACATAAAGTTCGCTGTCTTCCATGTTCACCTTCTATACATAGCACACATCACTTCAGGTGATATTTTTAGTGTGCCTGTGCTTTGCCTGCCACCTGTCTGTCACATGAGGTCAGGTGTGGACTCCTGCACACCTCCTGAGAGGTCCCAGCTGGTGCAGCAGCACTCAATTTGGGATATCTAGGGATCCCTCTTTACTTTTGTGACAGTACCTTTGTTACTTTAATCTGATCTTCAATCAGAGCTAATTTGAATGACATTGCTATTGCAGTACAGGTGGTGCCCCCCAATATAAAAATCCAGTCTGAAGTTTTTGCACACCATGATGCCGAAAGTGCAGGAGTCCACACCTGACCTCA